TCAGTGGGCTTGCTCCCGGGCCATGCCAACTAACGGTTGTGTCTGACGTACCCACCGACCATTGGCTGTAGGTGTCAGAGGTGACCTGGGAAGAGGAAGAAGACCGAGCCAACCAATCGATGACGGCAAGGTTGTCGGTGGAGACACGACCGCTGGATGACACCGGGAGCACTGGCCTCTGGCTGCGACTAGTGCTGCCTCGACCCCTTCCTCTGCTGCCACGTCTGCTCGCTCCTAAAACATTGCCTCCTCTGCCACTCCTCTGCATGTTGTCTGACATACTCTTTAATTCAACGATTCTGTGTCCCTGAGTAACAATTCTGTGTCCCTGAGTAACAATTCTGTGTCTGTCCCTGAGTAACAATTCTGTGTCTGTCCCTGAGTAACAATTCTGTGTCCCTCAGTAACAATTCTGTGTCCCTCAGTAACAATTCTGTGTCTGTCCCTGAGTAACAATTCTGTGTCTGTCCCTGAGTAACAATTCTGTGTCTGTCCCTGAGTAACAATTCTGTGTCCCTCAGTAACAATTCTGTGTCCCTCAGTAACAATTCTGTGTCTGTCCCTGAGTAACAATTCTGTGTCCCTCAGTAACAATTCTGTGTCTGTCCCTCAGTAACAATTCTGTGTCCCTGAGTAACAATTCTGTGTCCCTGAGTAACAATTCTGTGTCCCTCAGTAACAATTCTGTGTCTGTCCCTGAGTAACAATTCTGTGTCCCTCAGTAACAATTCTGTGTCTGTCCCTGAGTAACAATTCTGTGTCCCTCAGTAACAATTCTGTGTCCCTGAGTAACAATTCTGTGTCTGTCCCTGAGTAACAATTCTGTGTCTGTCCCTGAGTAACAATTCTGTGTCCCTGAGTAACAATTCTGTGTCCCTCAGTAACAATTCTGTGTCCCTCAGTAACAATTCTGTGTCTGTCCCTGAGTAACAATTCTGTGTCCCTGAGTAACAATTCTGTGTCCCTCAGTAAACAATTCTGTGTCTGTCCCTGAGTAACAATTCTGTGTCCCTCAGTAACAATTCTGTGTCCCTCAGTAACAATTCTGTGTCTGTCCCTGAGTAACAATTCTGTGTCCCTGAGTAACAATTCTGTGTCCCTCAGTAACAATTCTGTGTCCCTCAGTAACAATTCTGTGTCTGTCCCTGAGTAACAATTCTGTGTCCCTCAGTAACAATTCTGTGTCCCTCAGTAACAATTCTGTGTCCCTGAGTAACAATTCTGTGTCCCTGAGTAACAATTCTGTGTCCCTCAGTAACAATTCTGTGTCCCTCAGTAACAATTCTGTGTCTGTCCCTGAGTAACAATTCTGTGTCTGTCCCTGAGTAACAATTCTGTGTCTGTCCCTCAGTAACAATTCTGTGTCCCTCAGTAACAATTCTGTGTCCCTCAGTAACAATTCTGTGTCTGTCCCTGAGTAACAATTCTGTGTCCCTGAGTAACAATTCTGTGTCCCTCAGTAACAATTCTGTGTCTTCCCTGAGTAACAATTCTGTGTCCCTGAGTAACAATTCAGTGTCCCTCAGTAACAATTCTGTGTCCCTCAGTAACAATTCTGTGTCTGTCCCTGAGTAACAATTCTGTGTCCCTGAGTAACAATTCTGTGTCCCTCAGTAACAATTCTGTGTCTGTCCCTGAGTAACAATTCTGTGTCCCTCAGTAACAATTTTGTGTCTGTCCCTGAGTAACAATTCTGTGTCTGTCCCTGAGTAACAATTCTGTGTCCCTGAGTAACAATTCTGTGTCCCTCAGTAACAATTCTGTGTCTGTCCCTGAGTAACAATTCTGTGTCCCTCAGTAACAATTCTGTGTCTGTCCCTGAGTAACAATTCTGTGTCTGTCCCTGAGTAACAATTCTGTGTCTGTCCCTGAGTAACAATTCTGTGTCCCTGAGTAACAATTCTGTGTCCCTCAGTAACAATTCTGTGTCCCTCAGTAACAATTCTGTGTCTGTCCCTGAGTAACAATTCTGTGTCCCTCAGTAACAATTGTGTTCTGTGTCCCTGAGTAACAATTCTGTGTCTGTCCCTGAGTAACAATTCTGTGTCTGTCCCTGAGTAACAATTCTGTGTCTGTCCCTGAGTAACAATTCTGTGTCTGTCCCTGAGTAACAATTCTGTGTCTGTCCCTGAGTAACAATTCTGTGTCCCTAAGTAACGGTTCTGTGTCCCTAAGTAACGTTTCTGTGGCCCTTAGTAACGTTTCTGTGGCCCTAAGTAACGTTTCTGTGGCCCTAAGTAACGTTTCTGTGGCCCTTAGTAACGTTTCTGTGGCCCTTAGTAACGTTTCTGTGGCCCTAAGTAACGTTTCTCTGGCCCTTAGTAACGTTTCTCTGGCCCTTAGTAACGTTTCTGTGGCCCTAAGTAACGATTCTGTGGCCCTAAGTAACGATTCTGTGGCCCTAAGTAACGTTTCTGTGGCCCTTAGTAACATTTCTGTGGCCCTAAGTAACGTTTCTCTGGCCCTAAGTAACGTTTCTCTGGCCCTAAGTAACGATTCTGTGGCCCTAAGTAACGTTTCTCTGGCCCTAAGTAACGTTTCTGTGTCCCTAACTCTCTCCCTCAATACAGCCAGGTCTGCCTCTCTTGAATGACTGGAGGCAAATGGAGAATTCTAAAATGGCCGCAATTTATAGCTCGACCATTACACAGTGCTGGCTGGCTGGCTGCTGATTGGCTAATGCGATCACATGTCATGAATGAATGCATTATGGGTCAGCGCGCCTTGTCTGCGCGCCTTCCCAGAGATCCCCGCTCCGTCGCCGCACATGTCGCCGCCATTTTTGGAAAAATTTCGATTCGCGCATCCGAAGTCTGCTAATTTTCAGATTCGTCGCAAATCTAAATTTTCCTGATATTCGAAACGAATTCCACTTCGCCAAGTTCGATTCGCTCATCTCTAATTGTTATGCGTTACTGTTTATTAGCACTCTTCAATGCATAAGGCTAACTGAAAACTCACCCATGTAGTTTGACCTTAAATATTTTTCAGACATGTTAAACATATGTCTGGTTTATCATGACAGCATAACACAGTTACATAGTAATGGCGACTGTCCAGCTTGGTATACGGCAAGCAGATGCTATGCTTTGTTGCTAGGCTAGATGATAACAAGCTCTTTCCTTGTGAGCTCCGATTACTGTGATAGCCGTAAAGTCCCAACCTTCTCTTGAATTATTTCATTCATTGTAATCAAAGCATAGTCTGCTGTACACTACCTCACTAGGAATTGGATTTCACATCTCATATATTTCAAGTGTATGCATTCCCTCTTTTACCACTATCTTGTACTATAAGTGGGGAACAAAAGTTTCAAGTAACACTATATTAGTCATCCTAATATTGATTAAATAACTAAATGGAGAAAATTAGTTTTTCAAAATATTACTTTTAAGTCACATATTTTAAAACAAACTTCGATATATAAAGCATGTAAAGTCACAATAGGAAGCACTGTTAACACAGAACATTAATATAGTGTTCTGTAATGAAGGATCTCTACTTTGTACAATCAATGCAAGCATGGAAAAACCTTCCTATACAGTAGTTTGCGATATTGCTCAATGCATCCAAAAAGGCTTTCTGTTCACTTTGCTCCCATGTTTATAATTAGTACCTGTGCAGTATGTTATATTAACTCCCAAAAATAATAACTCCCCAGTCATTTTTATATATGTAATAATAACTCCCAAACAGAAAAAGGTGTAAGTTATCTAAAATAAATTAAATTTTTGAATTAAATGTTTATTATTAAACAAATGAGTGCATTTATAACTTGGAATTTGGCGTTTTAAAAGAATTTGGCGCTTTAAAGAATTGATCCTCCAAATAATTAATGATAGTTTTCAATAATTAAAACCCGTTAACACTCTTACGTATATATTAATAGATAAAGCATATTAATTTAAGCTCTTACTTTCAACTTTTATGTCATTTAGCTTCTTCACAACTAGGGGAGTTATTATTACATATATAAAAATGACTGGGGATTTATTATTATTTGGGAGTTAATAAAACATACTACACCCCGTATATAATCTTCTATTGTGGTTAATCCTTCTTCTGCACATAACAGGTCTAATATTGGCATAATAATTACACATTAAAGATCTATCATTATATTTTTTTTACTGTTCTGTACCCTCTATGGGACAACGTACATGTAGTACTTGGTGACATGCTGCTAGGTGTTTCCTAAACCCTTGCTATATGGTCCAAACTACACTCCCTCCCTTCCTGCTACAGCTGATTTGACAACAGCTGGGAAGAAGGTGGATGAATCCCAAGATGAAATTCAGCAAAAGGAATGCAGAGGCTGACATGTACCCCCTCCCTCAGCATTCCTGTCTCATTCCTAGTTGTTGTTGGTTCAGGAGGGGAAGGGATGCAGTTCGAACCTCATAGCTAAAGTTAAAAATCACTTAGCAACATGGGACAAATTACTACATGTACTTTATCATATAGGGGACAGAACAGTAAAAAAATAATAAAATGAGCAATCTTGATGCATACAGTGCAGTAGCCAAAGTCAAATCTAATTCAGTTGGTTAACAGATGGACAAGATGAACGCAAGGAGAGCCGAATTGGTAGAACCAGAACATTAGCAAAGTCTTGCTCATTTACTTAGTTCTGTCAGCTTATGTAATGCCAGAGATGGATGTAGCAATCTTCTGTTGGGGTAGTATAGTCAGTGTGTGATGGCTGCTAAATCACCTCAGCATATCCACCACAGATAGGTGGGACAAACAGAGAAGAAATGGGCCAAGCAGGTTCTCTTAGGTGCATTGCAAGTACTGCATGCTCATTCCTTCACATGGGCCTGGACGGTCACTTAGTGCTATGATGTAAGCAGCCACTGGTTTGGTTGTTTTCAGAAACAGTATTTAACTGCTTCCCAACCGCCCTATAGCAGATATACTGCTACAGGGCGGCACGGGTGCGCAAAATCACGAATATATATGTGATTTTGCATTTCTGGGTAGGGGGCAAGCACGAGGCACCACCAATCGTGATCGCAGCTGTCAGTCACCACCACGGGTCCCAGCCAGTGACTACTCGCTGGCACCTGGTGATTGTCGAGGATCTCCAACGGGGAGGAGAACTGTATGCAAACAATACAGTTTTCCTTCCTGTCTGCTTGTGCACACTGCTTTGGATGGCTGTGCACAGCACAGCCATCCAGAGCAGTGTGATTACAGTGAAGCCCACACACACCACCCCATATGTAAAACACTCCCTGCACACAATTAACCCTTTGATCACTCCCTCATGTTAACCCCTTCCTGCCCAGTGCCATTAGTACAGTATCAGTGCTGTTTTTTTAGCACTGATCACTGTATTGGTGTCACTGAGGATGTCAGTGACACCAATTCAGTTCCCCAACAGTGTCACAAGTCCCGCAGTCCCGATATAAGTCGCTGATCACCGCCATTACTAGTAAAAATAAATGAAAAAAAATTCCAGTATCTATACCACCATTTGTAGATGCTATAACTTTCATGTAAACCAATTCATTTACACGTATTGGGATATTTTTTTAGCAAAGCCATGTAGCAGAATTTTTTTACTGGACATCTTTAATACCAAAAAGTCAAAAATTTTGTTTTTTTTTTCTCAGAATTGTCTGTCTTTCTTTTCAATAGCACAAAAAATTAAAAGACGCACAGGTGATCAAATACCACTGAAAGAAAGCTCAATATGTGTGGAAAAAAAAGGACATACATTTCATTTGGGTGCAGCGTTGCATGACTGCGCAATTGTCAAAGTAACGCAGCACCATAATGCAAAAAATGGCCTGGTCAGGAAGGGGGGTAAATCCTCAGGAGGGCAAGTGGTTAAAGAACTTTCCTAAGAATTAAAAAACATTTAATACAGGTCTATATTTATGTCTAAATGCCTATATTATCTTCTTCAAAAGAACAGGATTGAAATAAATCTTTTGCTTTCCAACTTCTCTGTTTCTCCATTGATGGAAGCCCAATTTGTGTGCATTCCTAAGTTTGAGGTAGATTTCAATTGCTCCCACCTCCTGTTCAGTGAGCACACCTGGGAGAGGGAATGTGTTGGCTAGAGGGCTCTGACCCCCCTTTTCCACTCCCATTGTTTAATTATTTGCAGCTAGGACAAAGGCCGTCAGGCTGCACAGCATTATTGGTTGTTATGGTGCAGGCAGCTGCCTGTGTACTTGCAACTGCCTCTTGTTCAGTGAACACATGTGGAAGAGTGGATGTGTTGACTAGAGAGCTCTTACCCAGTCCCTCTTTACCACTCCCTCTGTCTAATTATTTGCTGCTAGGACACAGGTAGCGAGGCTATACAGCCTTATTGGGTGTAATGGTGCAGGCAGCTGTCTGTGTACTAGCAACCAATAATACTGTGCAGCAGGGGCCACGTGCTTCCTGAGGACCAATAAAGAGATGGAGGGGGGTGGAACAGGGGAACTGACACGCCCACTCCCCCTGCCTACGTAGTGATGAGGATGCCCCTAGGTCCTGAGACTAGCGCTGTCATTCATAGTTTAACACCTTGACGCTAATGTCACACAAATATGCGGCCTCACAGAACTGGGCTTTTTTGGGGCCACAGATTTGTGTACCTGTCTTTCTGCTGGGAGCGCGCCGCACAGCACGCTCCCAGCACAAAGACCGGGGTGTCACTGAGAGCCCCGGGTCCTGTTCTAACGATCGGAAACTCCCGATTCCGGGTCCCATGATCGCTGTGATAGCCTGTTTTTTTTTTTTCTCTATGAATGGAGGAGAGAGATACATTGTATCTCTCTAACTCCTGGCATAGAGAAAAAAAATGTTTGTTAAAAAAAGAAAAAGAAAGAAAGAAAAAGAGAAAGAAAGAAAAAATACCTAGATCAAGGTTTGATCTAGTTCTGTGCCAGGGTTAGTGTTTGGGTCAAGGTCAGGATTTTTTTTTCTTAATTGATATCAGTGTCAGTGTGTTTTAGGTAAAAAAAAAACCCAAAACACAAAATGCGCACTATTATTTCTGGGCTGTACTGTGGGTACAAACAACAAATAACATACACATATATGGTATCGCTGCGATTATCAAGAGCTGGAACATTTATTTTGGGTTGTTCTTTGGTGGTAGGCTATGGTAGTAACAAGAAACACACAGCTAAATTAAAAAAATGATTTTTTTTACTATTTTGGCCCAGTTTTCCTTTTGATAATAAAAAAAAATAAGGAGATATCCATTACCATTTACCACCAAATGAAAGTCCAATTTGTCCTAAAAAAACGCGGTATAATTCACCTGGATGCACAAAGTAGTTGTGATGATATGTTCGGTTTTACTAACACATGTCAACGTTGCAAAATTGTGCTTAGGCATTTAGATTTGTTTTACCCTTAGGCGTGAGGGGGTTAAGTCCTGTCTACTTGTGTGCTTGGAAAGCTGTGTGTGTGAGTGGCGGTGGGGGGGGGGTGGGGAATTTATCGGCCACACTATCCTACTAATAATACAAGCTAGAAAGACAGGACAAAGTGCTACAGGCACTTTAACTCTTAGCAAAATCTTAGTTTTATGTAGAAAAAAGAACTATATTGCTGATTACGTCCTCATTCACACAGGTACTGAGGCCTGTACACCGTGAATAGCCAGAGCTGTAGAAGACCTGAATGCAGAAAGTGTATGTTTGGAGCTGTTCCTGCTCCTGCTCCTGCTACAACTCCAGCCAATCAGCTGCACCCACACGCCTGTCAAATTAGGACAAGCGACTGTGTCCGTACAGCTGTAAGTCAACATCCCAATTGACTTACATGGGCTGCCTGCATGCAGCACACTGGTGGCTCCATCCACATAAACAAATGGACCATTGATGGTGAACGGGCCTCAGGACCCTAGTGAATGAGGCCCTAATGTACTGATATGAATGTACAAAATGGAAAAAGTGCTGCATTAATTGTTGGTGCTATATAAATACATGTAATAATAATTTAATAAATGTGCTAGGCTCATTAACCACTTGAGCTCCAGAGGATTTACCCCCCTTAATGACCAGGCCTCTTTTTGCTACTCGGCGCTGCACTAATTCAACTGATAATTGCGCGGTCATGCAATGCTGCACCAAAACGAAATGTACGTCCTTTTTTTCACACAAATAGAGCTTTCTTTTGGTGGTATTTGATCATCTGTGCGCTTTTTATTTTTCACGCTATAAACAAAAAAAGGCCAAAAATTTTGAAGAAAAACAATATTTTTTACTTTCAGCTATAAAAAATATATAGTAAACTCAAAGTTGGTTATAAATTTAGGCCAAAATGTATTCTGCTACATGTTTTTGGTAAAAAAAATCCCAATGAGTGTATATTGATTGCTTTGTGTGGAAGTTATAGCGTCTACAAACTATGGTGTAAATACTGCAACTTACGCCATTTTTCTGCTATACAGCGCTGCGCTAGTTTAACGGACAATTGCGCGGTCATGCAATACGGTACATCCTTTTTTTTCCCCACAAATTGAGCTTTCTTTTGGTGGTATTTGATTGCCTGTGTGGTTTTTATTTTTTGCTCTATAAAAAAAAAGGCTGACAATTTTGAGGAAAAAAAACTATATTTTGGACTTTTTGCTATAAAACATGTCCAGTAAAAAAAAAATGCAAAAATCAAATTTAGTCATACATTTCTGCCAAAATGCATTCTGCGACATGTCTTTGCTAAAAAAAAAAACCAATACGTGTAAGTTAATTGGTTTATGTGAAAGTTATAGCGTTTACAAATGGTGGGAAAGATACTGGGTTTTTTTTATACTAATAATGGGGGCGATCAGTGAATTATGGCGGCGATCAGTGACTTATGGCAGCGACCATCGACTTATGGCAGCGACCATCGACTTATGGTGGGACTGCGGCAGACATTCTGACATTGGGGGGTACTGACTTGGGGTCACTGACATCCCCAAAAACCCTAATACAGTGATCAGTGCAAAAAGAAAAACACTGACACTGTACTAATGGCACTGGGGAGGAAGGGGTTAACTTTATTTTGCAGGGAAGGGTTATCTGAGTGAGGGGGAGTGTTTTACTAGGGGCGGGGTGTGTTCTGGACGGGACAAGGCTGATCGAGAGTGAGAAACTCTTCTGTCTCGATCAGCTCGCCCTCGAGCTGACAAGGAAGTGACAGACAGCACAGCTACTGCAGCTGTGCTCTCTGTCACTGTTTACCGCCGATTGCCGGGAAACAGCCGCTAAGGACCGGCTGTGACCCGGCGACTGACATCCGCGACGGTGATCGGCGGGACAGATAGGGTGGCGGCGCGCCTCACGCGCGCCCCCTATCTGTTTACAAAACACACGTTTTAAAACGTGGTTTTGCCTGCCAGTGCCGCCCTGCCGCTGTATTTCTACAGTGGCAGGGCGGCAAGTGGTTAAAATATTGACTTTGAAAACAAAGGTGCATTTACCCTATAAATCAATTTATAATAAATAAGCCTATATTGGTAAAGTATTATTAATACAAGGGAGAGCTAAAAGTTTGATTTTTTTTTTAAATCATGCTAGAACTCTTCACAATGTACCAAGGTGTCTGCTGCAATAACAGCCCCTTAGCCGTGGTTATTACAGCAAACCTGATCGTAAGGTTATTTAGGACATATATTCAGATTAAAGGAACTGTTTATTGCACACTTTATTTCACAGACATCTGTTGCCTCACAACTTTAAAATTCCAAATGACCTCCACAGTAAAAAGATACTCTTCAGTGTACATCATTCACAAATAGATTCACAATAGGAGAAACTTGATACAGTAAATAACCATGCAGCGTGAATTATACAGGTGTCATTTTGGAGATGGCTCATTCTCTCTTTGTCAACATGCCCCATAGCAACATATAAGCTCACACTCTGTGATGCATACTTAATGCAAAATACTCTGTTGAAGAGACTCTATTTAATAATCATATTGTCTCTGTTTCATAAATATAAATGTTGAAATGGCAGAAGCAGGCTATATATTCAAAATAATGGTTGGTTCTTTTCTAACTACTGCCAGACCTCTCTCTGTCCTAGGGCCTTAGTATATACAGTTGTGTTCAAAATAATAGCAGTGTATTGAAAAAAGTGAATAAAGCTCAAAATCCTTCTAATAGCTTTTATTTCCATACACACAAATGCATTGCTATCACTACACATTCTATTCCAAATCAAAACATGAACAAAAATATATCAAATTTGTGTTGTTCCTCTAAAAAAATTGAAGAAAAGTGAATATTAGACTGTTCAAAACAAATAGCAGTGTTTGTATTCTTCTTTACAAACTCAAACATTCACTATATAAACGGAAAAATGTTTGAAGATTTTGCTTTCCTTTGAATCACTTAACCACTTGCCCTCCTGAGGATTCACAGCGTCTATAAACTATGGTATAGATACTGCAATTTACGCCTTTTTTTGCTATACAGCGCTGCG